CTTAAATTCACATTTATCTCAGCTTTAAGTTAGCTAGGATTATGAATCTATAATAATAACAAACAATCCACGAAAAAAATCCATATAATCTAATCATCGTCCGTCACCAATTATCGTCCTCGTTTCCAACTTAAGAACAATTCCATTCCAGAGCAATTCTTAGTCGATCATGCCCAATCCCTAAAAACTTCTCTTCCTTCATTTCATTTTAGTCCCCTTTTCTTCGCCCTGCACTCAAATGACGTGTTCATCCAGGCATTCCGGCTGCAACTCCCAAAAGCACTTTTCCGTATTGTTTTTCCATGCGAGGCATTTCATCTTAGAAAACGTACAAATCTTTCATTCGTGTCTCCATAAAATGAAAGCAATTTTTATGCCTTTGGGGAGTTCTTTCCACGTCTTAAGTTTCTCCTGAAATTTGCCTTTTAGTTTTTTATTTTTGTTTGCCGACTTGTCACATTTTATTTATTTTTGGCTTTGTTAGGGAAGAATTTTCATTTACTTGCTATTTTATAGCCAAATGAAATGCTGAAAAATATGTTTTCGAATTCCGGGCTGCATTTTATTTTTATGGAATTGTGTAAAAATAGCATGCATGCATTTGAATGAAATATTTATTTTCGTTTTTGGCTGAGAATCTTATGAACGGAAATTTCTGTCGATGACTGCGAGTATTAACAGAGAGTTCTTGTCTATTTACTCAAAATAATGATTTATGAGACTTTTACAGAAATACGTCAAAGTTTTTGATAAGAAACTCTGTGAATTTGCTGAGTGATGAGTTGAAATATTTATGATTCAATTAGGCTTAAAATAATTGATTTATCAAATTTATCAACTCTCATATCTGTATATGTATATCTACATATATATAGAGCAATATCTATCTGTTTCCTAAGTCAATTTGTCGTTTCCATTTGCAACTGTCCCGAGCTGACATGAAAATAGTTTTTTTAATTGAATTGCCAGCTGGACTACCCGTTAATAGGGCGTATGAATGAAAATATTTCTTTCCTCGTTGCTCCCTCGGACATAGTTGGGTGGCTCGGCAAGGTAATTCGCAAAGGTGCAAACCCCACTGCCTGCAGTAAAATTACAAATGAAGTTGGAAATATTGTTGCAATGTGCACGGGCGGGCAGCTGAATGGAATAAACCTAGATGCCTGGCTGAATGTCTGGCTAAGTGGATGGAATGGAATGAAATTCAATTATAACTTTGTAGTTTCTCGTTGCACAACTGGCGAACTAATAAAAACATTACAACGTATCTGACTTTATATATTAAATTAAGCTAGTTAAAGCTATTAAATGCGCGCTTTAGGCAGATGAGATCGACTAGATAGACTGAGTCAGATTATGAACCTTTGTAAATTCTGAAGAAGAAATACAGTCTCTCTCTCTCTCTCCCTCTCTCTCTCTCTCTCTCTCTCTCTCTCCCACTGCCTCTCTCTCTCTCTCCCTCTTTCAAATTTAACTTTTAGAATAATTCCAACTTGGTGAAACTTCAAAAACTGTTCTACAAACATAACAAACCAAACCTTTGCGTTTATAATCATAAAATAATTTTTTTGTAAAAAACATCATTTCCGAATCTCAGTTAAAAGACCCAAGCAATTTATTACTACGAGCTACAGCTATTTTGTAATTTCGTATGTATTTCAATTATCCCGGTGAAAGCGTTGTGTGTGCGAATATTTATGGGAACAATTGCTCCCTATCGCTTGATATATGTGAATTTAGGTGAGTGTTGACCCAAGAACTTTCGAATGAGAGGGCTGATTCGAACCATAAACAGATAACAGGATGAACCGTCATGAGAACATTGTGTGCAAGGGCTGCAGTAAGGTGGACTTTACGGGCCGCTGTTATCGTTGCCTGAGCTGTCAGGACTTTAATATGTGTGCGGAATGCTATGACAATGATTTTACCACAGCTCAGCATCCATTCGATCATCCGGTCAAGTGTGTGCTCACGCCGGGCGACGTTGAGCTCTACTTTGGTGGCGAATACCTGAACGATCCGCCGCAGAGCTATCGATGTCCGTACTGCAAGCAGTGGGGCTACAATGAGTCCACATTTCTGGAGCATGTCTCCGCCGAGCATGTGGGCGCCAGCACACTGCTGGTGTCCACCATGGTCACCCTATTCGAGCAACAGCAGGCGGTGCGCCTGTTTCTAGAGGACGAACAGCTGGCCGTATTCGCCTCGGCCGCAACGTCACGCAACGAACTGATGAACCGCAACGAGGGCTCGCTGGATCTCTTCCTGGAGCCACTCAATCCCAATGGCAGCTATCAGCGAGAGCATCCGATATCGCCGCTAATGTTTCGCATTGCCAAGCCCGGCGCCGTCGAGGTGGCGCCCTGGGTGGCCGAAGGCAACACCTTGACGGCATCGAACAGTAACCACAACGTCGACAGTAATTTTCAGATACCGGACCAAGTGCGTCGTCAGTCCCTATTGGATCGTGCCCGGCAGCGTCTCAGCTTCGATAGACCGCCGCTGCCGTTGAACCAGCAGCTGCATCACCAGCCCCTTCAGCACCAGCCGCAACAGCAGCAGCACCATCCTCATCAGCTGAGCGGCCATCCCACGCTCTCCGAGATGATGAGATACAATGAGCCGCTGCCCACCAGTCGCAGCAGTCGTCCGGGCAACTTTCGCATCGTCACCAATCATGCGCCCAATCAGCCGACCAACGGACGCACCATCAATCTCTTCGGGCACAATTCAGCGACGGAGAATATGCGACGCGCCTTCTATCCGCCCGGTGAAATCACGCGCGTGACGCGTGCCCAGCGCCATCGAGCGCCACGCATTCAAATGGAGAGCTTCCCAACCAGCGGAGTGCGGCAGGTGCATGTGCAGCGTTTGCGCGGCGGACCCGGCCCGGGCCCGATGCCGGTACCCAGTCCCGGCCAGCGTCTGGTCGAGTTCAGTGAGTTGGCACACGGCGCCAATGAGCTGCTGGGCCAGAATGTCGTCTCGGGTGCGGTCATGTTGCGCACCATCGAGGAGGAGGAGCCACAGCCACAACAACAGCAGCCACAGCAGCAACAACAACAACAACAGCCGACAGCTGAGGCCAAGCAGCTGGAACAGGAGCGTGAGCGTTATCTGTGCTATCCGTTCCTATCGGCCACATCGACTGCACCCTGTCCACCCGAGGAGCAGATCACATTCTTGGCCCAACGCGCCGAGTTCGTGGCCCAACTCCTGGCCTCGGTGCTGTGCGAGGAGGAGCTCGTCGGCGGCATGGGCGCCATGGGACCCGCTGATGGCGACAACGACGACGACAACGACTCGATGGACAAACGCAGCGTAATCAAGCGATCGAATAGCGAATTTGTGGGCGCTGGCGACTCCCAGCTGGACCTCAAGCGTACTACATCCTGCTGAGGCTCGATGCGACTCTTGTCCAGTGCTAATTCGTTTTGGTTCACTGTGGCAACAGCAGCAGCAGCAGCATAGACTTTCGTTGATATTCTTTAACAAATTACTAGGCACAACAAATTTTTGTAAATTCCAATTGTCCGAGTTTTTGGAGAGACCAGAGTGTAACCCCATTATATATATTTATTCTTTGACCATGCGGCCCTTAGGCGTGAACTTTTAAAATTTCCAATTGTCGTGAAGTCATTTGCGTCGTTCCATTTGAATAATAAATGTGACTGTATACCAGATATTTCAAAATTAAATCGATAGGTTATCGATAAATTAATGTAACACATCAGTATAAAAAAATAAAATCGACTAGTCGAATATGGACCAAGAACTATTGAATGCGAGAAAAATATTGCAACTGTATATTATCGATAAATGTTTGAAAAGTCAGATGAGCTATTAATTTGAACAGGTTTTACGTTTACAGAGAGTATTTAGACTAATTTTCGATAAGCAAAATCGATTGAT